GGGTTAGGCTGAGTCTGAGGCGTAGGCTAGGCTGAGCCTTAGGTTATGCTGAGGCTTAGGCTTTTCTGGGGGCTGAGGCTGGGATGAGGCTGTGGCTAAGCTTGTGGCTGAGGCTTGGGCCAGGCTGAAGCTGATGCTCAGGCTGAGCCTTAGGCTGAGGCTTAGGCCTAGGTTAGGCTGAGGCTTAGGCTCAGGCTTAGACTGAGGCTGAGGCTGAGGCTAGGCTTAGGCTGAGGCGTAGGTTAGGCCAGGGTGAGGCTTTGGCTCAGGCTGGGGCTTAGGCTAGTTTGAGGCTTAGGCTAGGCCGAGTTCGTTTTTCGTGTCATTTTGCTCAAGCCCAAACCAAAACCTCGACATTTGCTGGGCTCCCCAGGCCCGATCCGTGGCCGTAGCCGGAATTTGCGTTGTTCTATTCGTTGTTTCGTTTTGTCTTGTTCAAGCCCAACCCAGAATTTTGACGTTCGCTGGAATCCAAGGCCCTAGCCGTCGCCGCAGCCCGAGTTTGTTTCGTTTTGTTTTTTGTTTTCGCGCGCCTCATACGGGACCTCGCCCCTCGCCTGGGCCTCGGCCCTGTAGCCCTCGCTGCAGCCCTGATTAGTTGTTCGTGTTGCGTTTCGTTTGTTTTGTTTTGCCTTTTCGTTCGGTTCAAGCCCAAACCCTTACCTCGCCCTGGCTCCAACCGTCGTTCCATGTCTTCGTTTGTGTTTCGTTGTGTTGTTCGTGTTGCTTAGCGCATGCCCCAACCGGCAATTCCTCCCCCGCCTCAGCTCAGCCCTCCGCCGCAGCCGCAGGCCGAGTGTTTTTTTGTTTTGTTTTTCCGTTTTGATTTGCTCAAGCCCAACCCAGAACCGCGACATTCGCTGGACCCCCAGGCCCTAGCCGTCGCCGCAGCCCGAGTTTGTTTATCGTATCGTTTTCCGTTTGTTTTCGCACGCGCCTCAAACGGGACCTGGCCCCTCGCACTAGCCCAGGCCCTGCAGCCTTCGCCGCAGCCTTGGTTTGTTTTTCGTGCTGTTGTTTGGTGTATGTTGCTTTGTCGTTATGTCTGGTTCAAGCCCCTCGCCCTGGCAGGCCCCAGCCGTCGTCCCATGTATTCGTTTCGTTTCTCGTTTCGTTTTCCGTTTTGTTTCCAGCGCGGTCTGCGAAGTTCGTTTCGTTTTTCGCTTGTTTTCTCTATGGGCGTTGACCTCGTTTCGTTTTTCGTATTCGTTTGCACCGATTTCGTTTGAAACGTTCGGTGTACAACGGTCGGCTTCGTTTTGTTTTCGTTCTAAACGCCAACGCGTTTTAAGCATCGTTGTGCTCGGTTCGTGCTAAATGGGCAGCAGATGATATGTTGTTGCCCCGCGTGCCATTAGCCAGCCCCTACTACCAGCCTTTGTGCTCACAGGTGGGCAGGCTTTGCAATCGATGTATTGGCCAGCAGCTCTGCATTGAGAGAACGACTCGGGCCCGATGCTCGAGTCGGAGCGGCAGCGGTGGCATCAGCGGACGATGACGTTCTGTTTTCCAACAGCATGTTGGCTGCATCAGAGGCTGATGCAGCCGGCCCGCTCCAGCTTTCGCCACGCTGGAAGCGGGCCTCCGCCGCCGCGTACCGTATGTCCTTAGACGGGGGAGGCCCCCCCAAAAAATGGGGTGAGGAGGGGCCCACGGAGGGCACCCTGGGCGGGCCAGCTTGGCCCAGAAAAGCTACGAGCCACACACGTGGGGGCTAGCAATAGCTAGGCAACAGGAGAGGGGAAGCCCGCGCTGATCTGGGGGCCAGGAGATCGAAACGTTTCACCAAACATCAGAATTGCTGCCACGTTACTCTTACATTGAACCCCCCTGCTTCGAGGTTCTTGCCAATGATAGCTTGCCGTCTTTGATCGAAAAACAGTTCCAAAACCCCAGTCAGGCCCTCACTATACACGAGTCTGTGGCATGGGAGTCTGGACCAACGTATGTTCATCCTACATGGGGTGGAAACAGAGTCTGCTGGGGCGTCCTTCAAGGTCAAAGCCGCGGCTTCTCAGTCAGGGCAGGCTGAATGCCTTGACAGGAGCACGATGGTATCATCCTGGACTTCGCGTCCTTGAGTGAATTAAGTCCGCCCGATGCTCTTGCTCATACCGGAAAGCTTCTGTCAACTGGCGGGGTTGACAAGGAAACGAGCTTCTCAGTTCGGCTGATCCTTCACACGCTTCATGCCGTCATAGGGAGTTTCATCTGCGGCCTCGGCGGCGCCACTCCCATTTCGGGACGGTATTCGTACGTTTCGCCCCCACCCCGTATGGAGTTTCACCGGCGGCCTTGGTGGGGGTGGTTATATGCCGCCCTGCGCCCATGTCGGCAAACTTTTCACACGTTTCGCGCTCCCTTCGTGATCTCCGCCTGCAGCCTGAGTCGGTGTGGTTGTATATTGCCCCTCGCCCAATTCGGCACACTCCTTACACGCTTCGTGCCCCTGGAGGGAGCGAGCTCCACCTACGGCCTCAGTGGTGTTGGGTGTATGCCGCCCTGCGCCCATGTGGGCAGACACACACACACACACCCACACGCTCCGTGCCCTCCACAGACAGCTCCACCTACGGAGCTTTTCACACCCCTGACGCTCACATAAGGAGCTCCACGTACGGCCTTAGTGGGGGCCCGCGCATGCCGCCCGTAACCTCACAGTGGGCGTATGCCCCCCCGCGTTCATGTCGGCACACACACACACACCGTAACACGTTTCGTGCCCCCTGGGCGCTCGCACGTGCCGCCTCGCGACCCTTGCGGCACACCAATAACACGCGTCGTGTCCACACAAGGACCCGATATCCATGAAAGAGCGCGTTCTGTGGTCGCTTGGAGGGGGGGGGTTAGAACCAGACCCCGCCCCCCCTGGATGGAGGGGGGTGGGGGGGGATTCGAACCCCCCACTCCCTCCCCGTGACGGCGGGGGGGGTTCGAACGCCCCTCAAACATCTTTTTTTTCTCCCCTACTTCTCCTCTCTCCCTCTCCTCGGGCTGGCGCCTGCGTCGGCGGCGGCTGGCGGCGGCGGCGGGGACGACGATTTCCTTTCTGGGCCGGCGCGGGCGCCTGCGGCGGCGGGCGGCGGCGGCGGGAAGCGTCGACGACGACGACGGTGGTGATGGTGGTGGTGGTGGGTTGTGGTGGTGGGAGTGGCGGTGGTGGTGGGTTGTGGTGGTGGTGGTGGTGTAGTGGTTTGCTGTGGTGGTGGTGGTTGTGGTGGTGGGTGATGGTGGTGGTGGTTTGGTGGTGGTGTGGTGGTGGTTGGTGGTGGTGGTGGTGGTGGTGGTGGTGGTGGTGGTGGTGTGGTGGTGGGTTGTGGTGTTGTGGTGGTGGTGGTTTGGTGGTGGTGTGGTGGTGGGTTGTGCTGCTGGTAGTGGTGGTGGGTTGTGGTGGTGACGGTGGTTTGTGGAGGTGGTGCTGGTGGCGGTGGTGGTGGTGGTGGTGTGGTGGTGGTGTGTGGTGGTGGTGGTGGTGAGTTGTGCTGCTGGTAGTGGTGGTGGTTGTGGCGGTGGTGGTGGTGGTGTGGTAGATTGTGGTGGTGGTGGTGGTGGTGGTGGTGATGGTGGTGGTGGTGGTGGTGATGGTGAGTTGTGGTTGTGGTGGTTGTGGTGTTGGTGTTGGCTGTGGTGGTGGTGGTGGTGGTTGTGGTGGGTTGGTGGTGGTGGTGGGTTGAGGCGGTGGTGCTGGTGGTAGTGGTAGTGGTAGTGGTGGTAATCGTCGCTGCGTCCCCGCCGTCGCCGGCGCCAGCGCCGGCACCGCTGGCCGCCGCCAGCGCCGGCGCCAGGGGGGGGAGCGGGGCTTGAACCCCCCCCACTTGGGCTGGCTCTGGTCATCGTCGCTGCGTCCCCGCCGTCGGCGCTGCTGGCGGCCGCCAGCGCCGGCGCCGGCGCCGAGGAGGGGGGGGGCGGGTTTTGAACCCCCCCCCCTTGGGAGGGAGGGGGCTTGGGAGGGAGAGGGTTTGGGGGGAGGGGAGTCCCCTTGGTTTTGATCGACGGCGCCAAGGGTTGGGGGGGGGCCCACCCCCGGTTCGAAACGCGCCGTCGAATGTTCCCAAGGCAGGCGCCCGTGAAACGTGCTCTCTCATATCTATCATCTTGCGGCGCGTCGTATGTGAGGAGAGGGCCGCGCCCTTCGCTAAACGCAGCCGCACAGGATTTGGAAACAGCTTGGGCCCTTCAGCAGGCTGATTTTGGAATGTTTCTGGGAGCTTCTGGGCATTCAGTGGCTCCACACAAGCGGCACGCAGGGGGCACCGCGAAGCCTGCGTGAGCGCCGCTAACGACCACGGCAACGACGATCACGACCACGACGTCGACGCATTCGCTTGGGAGGTTTCATGCTTCTGGCAGTTCTCGTTGCTGCGGTTGGATTCGGATCGGAAAAAGGGCCAGGATGGGCCTCAGAGGGGGTTAGGGGACAGATTTTCGGTGGATGTGGGTCGGACGACGATGACGACGACGACGACGACGACGACGACGACACGACGGCGACGATGGCGGTGACGGTGGCGGCGACGACGGCGGCGCCGGCCGCGACGATGACGACGATGACGACGATGGCGACGACGAGGACGACGACGACGAGGACGACGACGACGACCACGACAACGACTGCGGCTGGACTCAGATCGAACAATTGGCCACGATGGGCCTCAGAGGGGGTTAGGGGACAGATTTTCGGTGGATGTGGGTCGGACGACGATGACGACGACGACGACGACAACAACAACACGACGACGACGACGATGGCGGCGACGGTGGCGGCGACGATGACGACGACGGCGACGACCAGGACGACGATGACGACGACGACGACGACTTCGACGACGACGACGACGACGACGACGACGACGACGACGACGACGACGACGACGACGACTTCGACGTTGGCGACGTCGGTGGCGGCCGCGAGTGGTTGTCATGTCTTTTTGTACCTTCTGCTGCGCTCTCGTCGCCACTGCTGGATACCTTGTGAAATTATAGTCAGAGTGCCGCCCCAGGACGGGTCCAGGGGTCGACTTCGGCGGCGGCGTCGCCGGCTGTAATGACTGCAGCTACGACGACGTCGACGAGGATTGAGAATCGGGGTTCTACGTTCTTTTGTGTGGATATCCAGGAATCTCTGCAGGTCTCCAGGGACCACAAGGAATCTCCCGTCGGCGACGACGGCGGCGGCGACGAGGACGACGCCGTCCTACCTCATCGTTCATTCCTCCTGGAAGGGGCGGATGAGGGGGAGGACGCTCACATTGCCGCGGTGTTCGGCTGGTTCGCACGAGCTGGAGGTCACAATGAGCACTTGGGGAGGAGGAAGCGGAGGAGGAGCAGGAGCAGGAGCGGGGACCAGAACTTAGAGCCACATCTGTTCAGAGAAGGGTTTTCGCCGCATAGGTTGAACGGGCAGCTTGTCATTCCGAATCCCAGTCAGACGTGCTTGTCCAGCACGCAAACTAGATGCTACGACTACTGTTGATCAGCAAGAACTTGCTTGCTGGTGTTGAGTCGGCGAAGGCCGATATGCAGTCAGATTTATTCCCGCACCGACCTGTCACTCTGAGGTTTAAGCAGGGGGTGGACACCATCATGATCCAAAGGCTCTTGAAGTATCTGAAGCTCCCAGTGGATTTACCCATAGGTCCAGCCCCTCAGGCCCCGAGTTATGACAGCATCCTGGAGACTCTTGAGGACCTCATCTTGCCGTTCGAGAAGGATGGGGGTTTCAGGCTTCCTAGGGATGATGAGCGGGATAGGCTCCAACAAGGATTGGATGGGCAGTATGAGAGGTGGTGTGAGCAGTCTTGGGGAGAACTTCGGAACACGCTTCAGAGTTTTCCAGAAGGTCGGGCTGGAGGACTCCCCTATCAGACAGTAGAGGTTCCCATGGTCGAGCTCCTCTGCACCAAGCGCTCCCCGTCGAGAAGCCCGTATCGTGCTTTGAAGTGGTTGTCGCAGCGCTGTGCAGAGCTTTTGGCTTTTGTGGAGCAAGAGAAGTATCACACGCATAGGCAGTATTATGATGATCTTGTTCGTTCGAGTTATAAGGTTTCGAAAGCTGGCGGTATTTTCAAGTATCACTTTGCTGGAGGCCGTGAGTTTTGGTGTGGGGCCTTGGAGGCCGTGCTGATTCCTCTCTGGAACCCCTTGGAGATAGAGTCGGTCCTGCCTGCCCAAGCCTTAGCCGCGTTGAAAGCTCTGGCCGATCATTTTGCGATAGAACGTCTTTCTAGAGAGAGGGCCGATCGTTCGGCCAAGTGGAAGGATTAGTGCACTGAGGCGCTGGCAGGTGGAGCGAAGTGGGCTCACGCCTACACTAAGGCAGCGGATGCTCGAAAGCAAGACCTGCTGCCGACCGACGACGGCCATGTGACCTCGTGCCTCGCCGCCCAGCTCGCTCAGGAGAAGGAGAATTGGTCAGAAGCTTGGGGGGCCAACAGGAAAACTGCTGGAGGCCTACTGGAATGGCCTTCGTATAATATTCCAGAGCCCCCGAGCCCCGAGGAGATCATTCGCATCTCCAAGAGCTTCAAGAGAAATACGATCGCAGCAGATGGGTACCATCCGAGGCATTATCAGTTTCTCTGCCCACAGGCCCTTTCGTGCCTCAGCTGTATTTTCTGTATTATGATTATCCTGGGGTCCACCCCTACTTGGATGCAGACCCTTGTGGTTGCGCTCTTCAGGAAACCTGTCTTGGGACGGAGGCCAATAGGCTTCTTCCAAACCGTGGTTCGGACATTGTCAAGATGGAACACCGATGTGTGCAAGTCTTGGGGGACAAGCATTTTGGATGGTGGTATCTTCAGTATGGCTCCTGGACGGAGCCCGACAGATACGGTTTGGCGCCAGACTGTTCGAGGTGACCTTGCGTTTTCCAGGCGGGAGCACGTGCTCAGCCTGCTTGCCGACTTGAAGCAGTGCTATGAGCACGTGCAGCACCAGCAGCTGATCAATTCGGCGTTGGACTGGGGATTTCCGATGCATGTGCTCAGGTTTTCTATTCACACGTACGCGTGGCAGAGGATCTTGTGCCTAGACGGCATGTGCGCAGATGCAGTTATGCCAGCTCAGGGTATAGTAGCGGGAAGCAGCACGGCTACACATGAGATTAAATGTTACTGCCTTCCTACTGTAGCGGGATATTGTGAGTGTCGTCTGCATCCCGAACTGGCTGTGCATGTGGATGATTTTAGTCTCAATGAGAGGAACGAGGATTTGGAGCTTTGTGTGGTCAATATGGGTTTTGCTGTTGCTTTCTTGGTTGACCGTTTATCGAATTTATTTAACCTTCGTTTTCTCTATGAAGAAGTTCGCCATCACAGGAACCTCTCCAGAGCTGGTAGCTCAGGCCCGTCTAGCTCTAGATCAGTATGCTGGCACATATGACCCGTCGATTGTCAACCTAGGATGCGACTTCGCGCCAGGTAAGCATTTGAGCGTCAGGAAAGCCAAGCAGAAGCGAAATGAGCGGTGGGCCAAAGGAAGGAGGAGGTTGGGGAAGATTCGAAGCCTTCGAAATCACAAACGTGCCAGGGCGAAAATATGGTTCTGTGGTGTTAAGCCTGCCACTACTTATGGGGAGGAGGTGGTGGGTTGGACGCCGAGAGAGATTCGCAAATTACGAAGTCCGGCTGCTGGCTTTCTTGGATTGACATCCTGTGGAGCCGATTTAAATTTGGCACTTTCGCTGGAGCCGACCAGAGATCCTGTCAAGCATGCTGCTGCTACTCTTCGTCGTTTTGCTAAAGAAGTCGGGATGGCATCTACTCCTGGGCACCGCCATGGCGATGGGTTGTCTGTGGGGGAGCTTTCTAAGATTTTGTTTGCTGTCCAGAATTACATCCAGGAACACTCCAGAAGTTCATGGGCCAAGAAATCCTGGGGACCCATAGGAGACATGATTCTCTGGCTCGGCATGGCGAACTGGCAGATTCGAGGCCCGCTCAGTTTTAACATGAGCAACGGGGACCCGCTGCTGTTGACAGATACGCCGTTCGTGCAGGTAGAGAAGTACTTCGTTCGAGACTTGTCTAAGGCCTACGTGGCCCAGAGTATGAGCAGGCACCTGAGGGACTCTGAACATCCGAGGGCTCTGGATATTTTGCATCGCGGGCTGTGGACGGACCCGCCGAGGTCCTTTTGGGCCAGCAAAAAAGCGTCATCGTGGTGTTCAAAAAGCTGTCAAAGAGATATTTTGCAGGTCGTATGCCACGGCCAAGCGTTTGCATGATTGGAAGTACGAGGTCCCTCCAGCGTGCCCTTTTTGCCGATCCCCCGAGGGAGGAGCCGAGGACGCTGTGTGGCACCGCTGCTTTGTCTGTCCAGGTCTCTCTGACAGGCGAGATGAGGCATTGAGTGCTGATGTGGTTCGGCTAGCTGTGGAAGCTGGCCCCGGCGATCCTCTCTACTCCAGCCTGTGGGACGCCCAGCCCGAGGGGATTCAGGATGCCTTGTGGGATGGAGTGGTTCGGTATTTCGACAGGTCGGGGGAAACAACCAAGTTCATGTTCAGCCGTTGCGAAAATCTGTACTCGGACGGTAGTTGCTACTCCCCCACCCATGTTTATGTGGCCCGTGCGGGCTGGGCCGTCATTCAAATAGACGACGCAGGGGACTTTGCAAGAGCTGTGTGTGGCAACCTGCCTGGTTTTCTGCCTCAGAGTGCTGTGTTCGCCGAGCACTACGCTTTGCTCCAGGCCCTGGAGCATTTTGAACACACTGGCGAGGACGAGCCGTTCAGGCTGAACGTGGACTGCCAGGCCCTTTTTGCAGGCCCTCGAGATCAGAGGGCATCGACGAGCGGGAGAACACCGCTCAGTGAAGTCTGGAAAGTGCTCTACTCCTCGCCCCGCCCGCCTTTCGTGTTGAACAAGGTTAAATCTCATGTGGGGGAAGACGTTATTGGCGCGGCTCGGTTTCATAAACGTGGAAACGATTATGCCGACGAGCATGCAAAGGACGGGGCCAAAATTCATCCCGAGATGGCCCAGAACATTGTCAAGTACGAGCTGGCTCTGAGTAGTTGGGAAGTCTTGGCAGTAGGCATGGGCCAAATTTTAGACAGCCTTCCAGAGGCCAGATCTCTTTTTGGTAAACTAGAGCGCGCCCCGAGAGTTCCCAGGCCTGTGGTCCTCCCCAGCGGCCTGAAGCCTCACCGTGTGCGCTGGAATGGGTGTAGGTGGTGGTGCCTTGCGTGCGCCCGTGCTTTTGATTCTAAGAATCCTAGGGGGTCCTGCGCGGCTTTAACCCCCTCAATGCGTTCGTTAATTAATCAGGTCGACAACCCCAAGCCCCACACACTGCATGTCGCCAAAATTGTCCAATCTTCTCTGCCTGTGGTGTTGTGCCTCAGGTGTGGGGCGTATTGTACTGGGGCTCCTCGTCAGCTGCTGAAGCCCTGTGGTAAAGTATTTGCACAGCAGAGGAGACAGCTTCTGAGAGGCGACCTTCCCTGGCCGCGGGGACAGAATATCACAAGCCCTGGCCACTCAGCCTCGCGCCTCATGAGGAGGCGGAGTGGTGGACCAAGCTCTTTTGATTGTGTTGTCGAATTGTCTTGGCGTGCTCGCCCTGTCGGGCGTGTTCTTTGGCCACTGCCTGTGGGCGGTGGCGGGGGCAGCCAGGCACCTGGGCCTCTGCCCTGCGCCTGCACGGCGGTCCTGGCCTTCGGGCTCCGCCCTGCAGGCGCGGTGTAGAGGTGGTCGGTGGTGTTTGGGGGCCCCTTTGCAGCCCCTTCGATCATAGATTGGTGGGAGCCAAGCGAGAGCCACTGGAAAAAAAAGGAGCAGGAGCAGGAGCAGGAGCAGGAACAGGAGCAGGAACAGGAGCAGGAGGAGGAGCAGGAGGGAGCTTGCTCGCACCAGTCGGGAGCCACAATGCGTCCGTGCAGCGGCAATCCTGACGGACGATGCCGTTCAGACGTTTCCCGGCCGCACAGGTGTGGAGGGAGCGCGCACAGGAGGGGAAAGTCGTGCGTTCGGTGATCTTTCTGAGCAGGAGGCGACAGTTTCCTGCTTGGCCACACGTCATGTTGCTTGTCTGTGGGGGGGTCTAGGTACATTTCGATACCTCTGGGGATCCAG